ATAAGCCTGCGTGCGTCCAGCAGACGCAGCTGCCACCCCGCCTGACCGAAATTCAGTGCAGTTGTCAGGAGAGGACTGTCAAGGCTCGGTCTGAAATGCCACCACCTCCTTCGCCCCGCGCCCCCTCCCCAAAAACAGCAGCGTTTAGCAAACGCGGAGCCCCGGCGGCCAGAGCAGCCCTCCTGCGCCCGCCGGCCCCATCTCCCAGCCCCGGGGAGCACGCCGCAGCCGCATCCCCGCACGGAAACACACTTTGACCCTGCGCAGGGCGGGTAAAGCAACTTCCCGGCCGCACGCTCTCGCCGGCGGCCCCGAGCCTTTTGCTGAACGGCAGCCGCCGCCTTCAGCAGCCTGCGCCGACACGAGCAAATCGTTTCGGCCAGAGACCAGATCAGGCACGCACGCCCCACGGGTCGGGGCTCTCGCACAACGCCCTGGCCCGGGCAGGCAGGGCAGGCGCGGGGCAGGCTCCTCCACGGGGGTTGGGTTTTTTTTGGGCAGCCCCCGGGGCTGGACACGGACCTGGCATAAGGGGGACGGTGGGAAGGGGTCTGCCCTCCCCGGCTCCGCCGAGGCGCAGCCCTCCCGCCCCTGGAGTTACAAAGCACTTTGCCAAGTTGGCAAGCACCAGGTAATAGAGACGCGGAAAACGCACTGCCCGGTCCCCAAACGGGCGAGCGTCTGGGACACAATGTCACCGCGCTGGCGAGGAAGAACAAAACGACAAAGAAACTCTAGAGAAAGGCCTCGCCGTGGGGCCGGTGCCCGGCCCCGGCTCCGCTGCCCGCCGCACAGCCCAGGGTTAACTGCAATACGGTAAAACCTGGAAATGATTTTCAGGCACTCGGAAGCTCAGTATCTCACCACGCAGCCTGGAAAATAAGCAAAGAGGAAGGAAAAACACGATGCAGCAGGGAAAACAACCCCGAATCTTTGTGCTGAAAAGCCCTAGAAAGGTTCTGTCACCGCCGGAGGCTCGGCTGCCGCCTCGCTGCGTTACCAGCAGTAATTAGCAGCAAAGGCAGGCGAACTTAAATCAAAAGGACACGTCCGCTAATGCAATTCAGACCGTTCATCCGCCCACCGCCTATCCTAACGGATACCGCGAGCGGTGCAGGCATCCGACCCCAGAACACGGCAGCGCAGGACGCACCACCGAGATCGCAGGATAAAGAGACGCATTTTTCCTGGCAACAGATAGCGCTAAGGTCCACCACAACGCTACCCAGCAGCGCAGCCAGGACTTCGTAAATAAGTTGCCCCCCCCCCCCTCCCCGAGCTTACCCGGCCGTACGTGTGCCTCTTGCTCTGGGCCATGCTGCCGCCGGCTTTGCTCTTTATTTTAAAGATTTATTGTTTTTAGATAATGGTCTCAGTTCATGGCCAGCAGCGATTCAACCGAGCTTCTTCACGTTTCAGCTGCTCTCAGCATCCCTGCGCGTCCCCGGCGAGGCTCCGCGGGGTCGCCCAGGAAGGGGAACAAGCCCTTTCCTGGCAGAGGATTCTTTCATACAGGGATATACAAAAATCCAGCCCAGCCGACGGAGCCCACTCTGCGCTAGCGCTGCTCCAGACTTGTCACCGCGCTGCCAGCTCGCTGGGTCCTAACGCTACCCGGCTCTGCTGGATCCGCAGGAGCGG